TTGGAGAGGTTTTTGCTATAGGGCGCGTGCGCTCGCCAGACAGAGAGAGACAGAGAGACAGAAAGCCAGAAATCACCCCCCAGAGGGGATGACCACGCCGCAATCCCTTCTCCTCCATTCTCCTCTCAGGATCTTGGGTACGCACGCATCTGCACCCAGTGTGAGTTTAAGCCACCGGGTCCAGGACTTGAACCGCGGTCGACTACGTGGGAGTCCAGTGACATAGCCATTACGCTAACTGCTGGTCCCAACATATTTCTTTTTTGTACCAACTATTAATATAGTTTCATAAGGTGCACCTTAATATCTTTTCCTATAGAGAATATACAGTTTAGTTTTTTGTCTAATATCTGATCAAACTTTATCTTTTATTACTGATGGTTTAAAAATGGCTTTTTTTTTTTCTTTTTGCTAGCTGATCTGCTGTACAAGAAATATTAAAGGGACTCCAGGCTGAATGAAAGAACATTAGACAGTAACTTGAATCCAGATGAAGAAATGAAGAGCACAAGTAAATGTAACTACAAAGGTAAATCTAAAAGATGGTGTTTTATATTGTATTTTTTTTTCACCTATCTATTTATAAAATAACTGTATCTGGGCTAGCCCCATGGTGCAGTGTTTAGGTACTATACAGAAGCAGCCAGATCCCACATGGCCAACCAGGGTTTGAGTTCCAGCTCCAATAGTTTCACATGTGCATGCATGCCCAGAATCCTGATGGGATGGAAAACTCAGAGGAAGAAGGATTGTCACTTAACAGTGCCCTGTTGGGCATTGTCTGCACACATGAACATGTGCTCTCTTTTTTTTTTTTTAATTTATTTTATTGGAGAGGTTTTTGCTATAGGGCGCGTGCGCTCGCCAGACAGAGAGAGAGACAGAGAGAAAGAAAGCAGGAAATCACCCCCCGGGGGATGGCCACGCCGCAATCCCTTCTCCTCCATTCTCCTCTCGGGATCTTGGGCACACACGCACACATGCCTGGTGTGAGTTTAAGCCACCGGGTCTGGGACTCGAACTGCAGTCGACTACGTGGGAATCCGGTACACAGCCATTATGATAACTGCTGGTCCCAACATGTGCTCTCTTGCAAGTGCATGTGACCTCTAGCATTAAAAAACACTTCTATACTTAACAATTTTAATTCAGTAATAAGAAATGTGTTGGTGAATATGTAATGTATAAAGATGTGATTTGTAACCGCACAGGGCAAGGAGAAGAAATGGGGGTGTATAGTAGCAAAGTTTTTATAAACTACCAAAATGAAGGTGGAATTAATCCAAACTAGATTGTTATAAATTAAGATATTAATTGTAATCCCAGGACAATCACTTTAAAAAAATTTTTTAAAGATTTATTTTTTATTTATTATTTTTCTTCAATTCTGAACAGAGAGAGTGAGAAAACAAGCCTCCAGGTCTGGGACTCAAACTGCAGTAGACCATATGGGAATCCAGTGCCTCAACCACAACACCACCTGCCAGCCCCCCCAATTTTTTTTTTAAGGTTTTGCCATAGGGCAAATGCACTCAGGAGAGAAAGAGACACACACACACACAGTCAGAGGGAAAGTGAGAAATCACTGCTCGGGTGGATGGCGATGCTGCAATCACTTCTCCATTCTCATCCTTGGATTTGGGGCATGTGCGCGCGCGCGCACACACACACACACACACACACACACACACACCTGGCATGATTTTAGAGCCGCCAGGTCTGGGATGCAAACTACAGTTGACCCACATGGAAGTTCAGTGTCATAACCACTATGCCAGAAGAAAAAAAAATTTTTAAAGTGAAAACAATGACAAGGGAATTATTATAAAATGGTACACCAGAAAACTTCTACTTAACACAAAAGAAAATGGCAAAGAAGGACAAGAGAATCGGATGACATCAAAACAGCAAAATGAGTCATAAATTCTAAGTACATTAATGTAAATGGATAAAATAATCTAACCAAAAGGCAGAGACTGGCAGAATGAAATTTTAAAACTGTGATCCAACTATAGGCTATGTACAACAGAGACACTTTACAATCCAAGTCACAAATAGCTCCAAAGTAAAAGGAGAACTATATACTGTGCAAATGGTAACCAAAAGAGAACTGAAGTGACTATATTATTATCAGACAAAGAATTGTTATTAGAGTGAAAGGATTTTTTTAAAATTGTGGTTAAAACACAACATAAAATTGATCACCATAGCCATTTTAAGTGAACAGTTCAATCGTGTTAAGTGTATTTACATTGCTATTAAATAGACCTCCAAAACTTTTTCATCTTGTAAAATTGAAATCCTGTACCCATTATACAGCAACTCTATTTCTCCCGACTCTCCTCTGGCCCCTGGTAACTATTGTTCTTGTTTCTATCTCTATGAATTTAACTACTTCCTAATTAATTTTCTTAAATGTTTATTTATTTCTTCCATAAGAGAGACAGAGTGTGGGGAGGTGCTTCCCTAACATAGCCTTCATGATGCAATCCATCCTCAGCCAGCCTGGATCATGGACATGTATGTGGACCACTGTGTACAGACAGGGCCCATGACAAACCTGTGACCTCCCCATGTGAGTCCAGTTGTATTACCACTAAGCCAGTCTGGTCCCTGCATTTAGCTGCTTTAGGTACCTTGTTTAAGTGGAACCATGTAGTCTGACTTTTTGTATCTGGCTTATTTCACTTAGCATATTGTTCCCAAGGATCACACATGTTGTAACATGTAACAAGATTTCCTTTCTTTTGAAGGCTGAATAATATTCCATTATACATACATACCACATTTTGTTTATATATTCAAACATCAACAGGCATTCATGTTGCTTTTATCTGTTGACTGTTGTGAATAAAAATGTTATAAACATAAACATAAGTTTGCAAGAATCTGCTTTACATTCTTTTAGGTATACACCCAGATGTGGAATTATGGATCATATGCTATTTCTATTTTTAATTTTTTTGAGGAAGTACCATACTGTTTCCATAACAGTCTCACCATTTTACAATCTCACCAATAGTGTACATCCTTGCCAATGCTTATCATTTTATGTTTTGATATTAGTCATTCTAATGGGTGAAAGGTGGCAAAGAAAGTTATTACATAATAAATGAGTCAACCAGCAATTAAGACATAATAATTATAAATTTATATGTGCCCAATAATACACGAAGCCCCAAAATACTTGTAGCAAAATCTGACAGAACAAAGGGAGAAACAGACAATTAACAAACACAGAAGACTTGAATAACACCAAAAAAAAACCCTAAAAGTAAGAGAGATCCAACCACCGAAGAAGAGGATCTTCTATAAGTGTACATAAAATAGTCTTCGGAATAAATTGTAATTAGGCCATAAAACAAATCTCAATAAATTTAAAAAGACTGAAATCACAGAAGCATGTTCTCTAGTCAGAAAAGAATGAAAGCAGAAATCAGTAACAACAACAAAAAGCCACTGTTCTTCTTGACACTGGATTAATCAATAGCTTCTCAGATATGCTACCTAATCACGAGCAACAGAAGAAAAAATAAACCGAACTTCAACAAAATTAGTATTTTTTTTGTTTCAATGGACATCACCAAGACAGAAAAGAAAACCCACAAACTGAATGAAAATACCTGCAAAATCATATATTTGATAAAGGGCTTGTATTTGAAATATATAAAGGGCTTCCATAACTCAATAATAAAAAGACAAATAACCCTGTTTTTAAATCAGCAAAGGAGCTGACATTTCTCAAAAGATATACAAACTACCAATAATCACATGCATAGATGCACAGCATTATTATCCATCAAGGAAAAGTTTCAAAACCACAAGTACTGTATACTGACTGGGATGGCTATATAATCAAAAAGAAAGGCAGTAACAATTATTCCTAGGATGTGGGAAAATTGGAACCATTCTACACTGCAGTGCTGGTGGTAAGTAAAATGTGAAGCTACTTTGAAAAATAGATCAGCAGTTTCTCAAAGGTCAAAAGAAGAGTTTTCGTATATCCTAGCAATCTCTGCCCTACATATTACCCAAGAGAAGTGAAAATATCTATCCACAGAAAAACTTGTACACAGGACCAGCAGTTAGTGTAATGGCTATGTCGCTGAACTCCCATGTAGTCGACTGTGGTTCCAGTCCCAGACCCGGTGTCCTAAACTCATGCCGAGCCGAGTCGCGTGCATGTGTGCCCAAGATCCCAAGAAGAGAATGGAGGAGAAGGGATTGCGGTGTGGCCATCCCCCCTGGGGGGTGATTTCTCGCTTTCTGTCTCTCTGTCTCTCTCTTTCTGGCAAGTGCACACGTCCTATAGCAAAAACCTCTTAAAAAAAATTAAGAAAAACTTGTACACAAATAACCTGACAGCGTCGTTCCAAAAACATGGAAGCCACCCAGATGCCCATCAACTGATGAATGAACAAACAGAATGTAGTATACCCACACAATGAAATATCAGACAACTATAAGGAAGGAATTACTGGTACTTGTTACAATAAGATGTATCTTGAAAAGATTATACAAGGTGAAAGAAGCTGGTCACAGAAAAGACAAGATATCCGTACAGTTCCAGTAACATGAGATGTCCGGAAAGGTCAAAGCATATAGGTAGAAAGCAGAAGAGCAGCTGCCTGGGGCTGAGGGACATGGAGAGAATGCGGTGACTACTAATATGCATGAATTTCTTTGTGTGGTGATGAAAATGTTCTAAAATCAATTGGAATGATGTTTGCAACTGTGTGACAATATTATAAATCATTGAACTATACTTAGATGGGTGAATTATAGCTCCAAAAGCTGTTGAGTTTACCTTAAAACAAAAACAGCTCTCTCGGTCGCCTAGCGAACAGATCCGCCGCCAGGGGCCACGGGATCCGTGGGTAGAGGAAGGGCGTGGGCTCGGTGTTCCGTGAGCACGTGAAGCACCGCAAGGGCGCCCAGAGCCTGCGGGCCGTGGATCTCCCTGAGCCGCAGGGCTACATCAAGGGCATCGTGAAGGACATGATCCACAACTCGAGCGGTGCCGCGCCCCTTGCGAAGCTGGTCTTCCGGGACGCGGCCGAGGGCATCCACATGGGCCGAAAGTTCGTGCACTGCGGCAATAAGGCTCGGCTCAGCACTGGCAATGCCCTACCCGTGCACCATGCCTGAGGGCACGATCGTGCGCTGCTTGGAAGAGACGGGGGCGGGGGGAGGGGGGGGGCAGCCTGGGAACTATGCTGCCGTAGTCTCCCAAACCTGGAGACCAAGACGACCCGAGTGAAGCTACCTTCAGGCTCAAGGTCATCTCCTCTGCCAACAGAGCTGTGGTCGGTGTGGTGGCTGGAGGTGGGAGGGCTGACCAGCCTATCCTGAAAGCTGGCCGTGCCTACCATACGTATAAGGCAAAGAGGAACTGTTGGCCACATGTGCGGGTCGTGGCTATGAATCCCGTGGAACCTCCCTTTGGAGGCGACGACCACCAGCACATCGGCAAGCCCTGCACCATCCGCAGGGATGCTGGTGGCAAAGTGGGTTTTATCGCTGCCAGCGGCGACGGGCGTCTCTCCAACACCAAGACCGTCCAGGAGAAAGAAAACTAGGGCTGGGGGCTCAATAAGGTTTCTTCTTTTGTCAAAAAGCAAAAAAAAAAGAAAAAAAAAGAAACAAAAACAGAACCTAAGCATACTACCTCCTTTCTAAGTTTTCCCCACAGTATTAGTGATAGAAGAAGTAGGTACCTATTTACCCTGCTGTTGAAATATTAACAAATAGATACCTGAGGACTTCCAGTAATTCTGAAAATTTCTAAAGAATAAAAAATGAACTATAATAACCAAATGTCTACAAATATTGTATGTTAGGATGAGAGAGGGAGGTCAGGGTACATTAGGAAGGGTTACTGCAGGTGAGCCACACTCTCATGACACAGATGAGGAAGTGTTACCTGTTCTCCTTTTTAACTATACAAGTTAACCTATATACTTCTTGCTATATACACACACACACATATATACATATATATATACACACACATATATGTGAAAAAGAAACTTGTTTTACATATAAAACTTAATGGATAACACTATATTTATTTGAAGTTATCTTTTACCATGTACAGGTGACTCTTCATCAGCAAACAAATACGGTTCTATTTCTTTCAAGGAACTTCTACCTTCAAGTCGGGCAAGGAGCTTACAAAAGAAAAAAAACAGGAAATCTCATTATGTAAAAGATATAAAATCCTAGAAATCTACATTTTTACAATTTTCTGAAAGTCTCTAAGAAAGACTATGATTCTGAGGATTTACAGAAAAATATGAGCTAGTAAGTAATTTAGAAAAAGTATTGTATTCATTTATCCTTGCAATATTCAGGGCCAGCAAGTGGCATGATTAACATGGCTAGATCCCATATGTCTGATGGCATAGTTCAAGCCCTAGGTACGCAGCAGCTTGAAAAACAGGCCAGGCACGTGTCTGTGCATGTCTAAACCCCAAGAGGAGAATGGAGAAGGGATTAGTGTGGCCATCCTTCAGAGAATGAATTCTTCCTTTCTCTCTCTCTCTGGTGAGCATACACACCCTACAGCAAACTATATATTCATATCACTTGTTTATATACCAAATACTAATACTGACTATATAAAATGGAAGGAATGGGTAGTCTAGTTGAGGATATAGGGACAGACTTAATTCCAAAACATTTACCACCAAATCCGTATCTTTCTACTGTTATTTAAAAAAAATCAAGTTTATTTTCAAGGGAGGAAACCTATCAACCATTGAGCATATTCAAAACAATGTTTTACGATGCCAACAGGGAATTTTAATAAGTGCAGTGGCCAAGCATAGCAGCAGTCAATAGTACCTCCCAGAACCTGGAAACAGTGGATAATGTTAACAATTCAAACAAGTCACTTTGTTAGACAAGACTTTTCTGCCGTATGTATAAATTCAGTAATAATATAAGGGATTAATCAGGTTTTTTTAACCCAACATATTTCATAGCAACCAAAACTAACTTCCAATTTTTTATCCATCAGTTATTTTTAAATTCAAGGCATACTAGGACTTTTTAGAAAGTGAAAAGTATACCATTATTTAATTATGTGTAAATGAAGCCATGTGGTGGATAGTACCAAAATACTGTCAAAATCACGGACTATTTTCTAATAATTTCAGTGAGACATAGAAGTCCCATTGCTACTGTGCAAAGACAAGGTAAAAATGGATTGTTCTACTGTAAATTGTTTTCAAGTGCTTGTCTTCTCTAAATTGAGAACGTTGTGTTGAGGTTGTAACACTAATGAATTAAAATGTTGAAGGAGCTTAGTTCAGTGTCTTGGGATACTGAACACAATTCCTCCACCCCGTAGAACCCAAAGCAGATGAATGTGCACAAAAGGAAAGTGTCCAAGGCAGTGTTAAGTAGTGGCCTTATAGTCCCAAAAACACTCATAGGAAAAGAGGCTTGCTTAGTTGACTTTGTTAATAGAAAGCAAGCCAGAATAGCACCAATTGCTTAGCTTCCTACCCTGCTCCACTTCACCCCATTCTTCAAAGTAAAGTGAGCGAGGCAACCTTGCTTAGGCTCTCTAGACAGTCCAGGTAGGCACATGTTACATTCTGTTCTATGACCTTACCATGCCAGACTCCCATTTTCTGGCTGCTAGGCTTGTTCTGACTGCAAAAGTTATCTATGTGTGTAACCTGCAGGCCAAATCCGAATTTCACGCAAACAGGCGTGCTCATTTGTTCTGGTATTTCGGGCTGCCTTCATTTTAGAACAGAGGTGGGCTATGACTGGACAGCACCAAGGCCGAGTTTCTCCCTGACCTTCCCACTCTGCCTACTTCTCAGGGATTGCTTCCCAACATTCTCCCCTGCCCTTTTGTTCCAGCCAGGCCTGTACAGAACTGATTATGTTCCCCCATAGGCCACGCTCTTGATTAACACAGAATGCCTGCACTTGCCACCCTCGCTTTCAATATCATCCCCTCTTGCCTAGCCACTTGGTGTAGCCGACTCCTGAAGCTGGTCTTCCCCTCAGCGGGAAAGCATGCCCTCTCTGCAGGCACCGCAGGTCTTAACGCAGCCGACCTCACCAGCTCTTTCATGACTTAAGTTGTGTCTTCTGTGTCCCAGTCCTCTCTCTTAACTAGTGGTTGGCACACAAGAAGCGCTAGGCCTGTGGCTCAGTCCTTGCAGAGGGCATCAGCTGGGTGGGAAAGGAACTCCTGGATGGCAAGGGCTTCGAGCCACAAACAACGCCAGGTGGACTACAAGGATGAGGTGCAGCAGCCTCCTCAAACGCCGCCAGCTGGGGCAAAGCGTCTACACCGGCTTCTACGAGGAGTCTCCACCCTTCCCCTAGCTTCTCGGGCACGACTCGCCCCCTCGAGCTGTAGCTGCCTGGTGCCAGGATTTGGACCGTTCTCCTTGCAAGTAGAGAACTACCTTACACCATCCGGGCAAGTCCTGGGATCTACCGGAAGACTTCACTTCCGCTCCTGGGTAGGGTGATGGGCGACGGAGGACGCTAGCACCGCCGGCATCCAAGCAAACGCCCCTTCCCCACCCAGGGCGCCCCGGGGCCGGCCCGGCCCGGCCCAGCTGTTCCGGAGCCGATCCCGCCTGGCTGGCCGCCCGGGCCTTCCCCACCTTCCGGGGTCCCGCGGCTTCCTTTTGCCGCCCGCCTTCCTTGGGCCGCCAGCGGCCTTGCTCTCCTCTCCCTCGCTCCCACCCCGGCGGCCCTCACCTCGGTCCCAGACTCAGCCCTGTGGAAGTCACTGCACATAGCCCTGAAGGCTCGGCCACGAGGGACTCAACTTTCCCGCCACCTACGCCATTTACCGACGGCGCGGGCCACGCAGCCAGTTAAAAACCGGGCCCGGCGCGACGCGCGTGCGCACTGCGCCAGCCCCTCCCCCCGGGCCGGAAGCGTCGAGCATGCGCAGTAGGGCGGATGGGCCGGCCCCTCCCGCCTCGCGTTGCGTCACACTCGCGCGTCCGCCTCCGCGCTCTCTTCCGTCTCCTTGGAGACCGGGAGACCGGCCCCGCTTTTATTTTATTCTCCGTCGTAAACCACGGTTGTTTTTAATAGGTAGAAAACGAGCAGCATAGAGTTAATGTTTTTAACTATTAAAAACATATTTACTGAGCATAGGCGCTTTTGCCCATTCTTAGGTTAAAAGCCTCTGACTGGCTGTCAGCGTGGCTTGTGATTAAATCCAGAAAAGGAGCAGAAAGTATATTAAATTTAACGTAATTTTTTGTTAAGGTTTGTGCCGTAGGGCTCCTGCGCTCAGGAAAAAGAGAGGGGAAATGAGAGCTCACTCCCCGGCGGGATGGCCGCACCGTAATCCTTTCTCCCCTCGGGTTTGGGGCACACCGGCACACTCCCGGCGTGATTGTCAGGCCTCCAGGTCTCGGACTTGAACCGTGGCTGGCCCTGTGGGAGCCCGGTACCTTAACCACCACACCACCTGCTGGCCCCTAAATTTATTTATTTATTTATTTATTTATTTGAGAGGTTTTCACTAGCGTGTGCGCTCGTCTGGAAGACAAAGAGAAAGTGAGAAATCACCCCCCAGGGGGATGGCCACGTCACAAGTCACAATCCCTTCTCCATTCTCCTCTCGGGATCTTGGGCACACATCCGCCAAGCATGAGTTTAAGCCACCGGGTCGGGACTTGAACCGCAGTCGACTACCTGGGAGTCCAGCGACATAGCCATTACGCCAACTCCTGGTTCCTTAAAAGAATTTTTAAAAAATTAGTGAGCCTGCAGATTTGTCAAGTTCTTTTTTGAGGTAGCAGAATTTAATTATTATTAGCTGTCAGTTTATTTTTAAAAGTGTGTTATGTTTAATATTTATATTCTATAGCTAATATATACATTGTATCTACACACATGTATTATACACACAAGTATAGATACATATATGTGCACACATGAGAATTTACCATACCCCAGACCTGTGTTAATTTCCAGAAATATTACAAAGAATAGGAGACATGCCTGAATATAGAGTTTACTACCTATTAAATCACTTAATAGAATGAGTTGGTGTGTGTTTGTTTTAGATTTTTGCCACAGGGCACGTGTGCTCACTGGAGAGACAGAGAAAGGAAGCAAGGAAGCACCTCCCAGGTTTATGGACACCCTGCAATTCTTGCTCCTCCATTTTCCCCTCAGGATTTTGGGCATGCATGTGCACAGGCCCGGCTTGTTCCCCATGCTACCGGGTCCAGGACTCAAACCATGGAGTTAGCTATTGGGATCCAGCGCCTCAAACATCACACCATCTGCTGGCCCACTAGAATTAGTTATTTTTATTTTTATACTTTATTTATTTATTTATTTATTTATTTGTTGCAGGGAGAGGCTTTGGCGTGTGCCCGCCAGAAAGACAGAGACAGAAAGCAAAAAAAATCACCCCTCTGGGCGGATAGCCACACCGCAATCCCTTCTCCATTCTCCTCTTGGGATCTTGGACACTCACACACACACGTCCGGCTTGAGGTTTAAGCCACCGGGTCCAGAACGCGAACTGCAGTAGACCACATGGGAGTCCAGCGACATAGCCATTACGCTAACCACTGGTCCCCATATTTTTATTTTATAAAGAATTATCTATTTGATTTTATGCATTATTATTACTTTTTAAAATTTGCCATAGGCACATTTTAAAAGGAGACAAAAGGAGAAAGTGAGACAGTAAGCTGTCAGTCTGGGACTCGAACCATGGTCTTCAATGTGGGAGTCCAGCACCTCAACCACTATGCCACCTGCTAGCCCCTAAAATAAATTTTTTAAAGAATATTTCATTTTATTTATCATTATTATTTTTTAATTTGCTGCCTGATATGAGTGCTCACCAGAGAGAGAGAGAGAGAGGGAAAGTGAGAAAGTAAGCCACCAGGTCTGGGATTCAAACCATGGTTGACCATGTAGGAGTCCAGTATCTGAATAACCATACCACCTGCTGGCCCCTATGAGAAATTTTTTTTGTTTTGTTTGTTTGTTTGTTTGTTTGTTTTTTAGAGAGCTTTTTGCTATAGGGCATGTGCATTTGCCCGATAGAGAGAGAGAAAGTGAAAGATCACCCTCTTACCCAAGGGGGATGGCATGCTACAATCCCTTCCAATCTCCTCCTGGGATTTTAGGCATGCACACACATGCACCCAGTGTGAGTCTCAAGCCTTCGGATCAGGGACTTGAATCACGGTTGACCACATGGGAGTCCAACACTTTAACCACTATGCCACCTGCTGGCCCAGGCTCTATGAGGTTTTGTTTTGTTTTTAAGAGAGATTTTTACTACGTGGCACATGTACTCACAGGAGAGACCGAAAGCAAAAAATCACCTCCCAGGGGGATGGCCACGCTGCAGTCCTTTCTCCTCCATTCTCCTCTTGGGATCTTGGGCACATGTGCACACATGCTCACATGAGTTTAAGCCACCCGGTCCAGGACTTGAACCGTGGTAGGCTACATGGGAGTCCAGTGACATAGCTATTACACCAACTGCTGGTCCCAATAAATAAATATTTTTTAAAAACACAAAACTCACTTTCCGACAGTGGTATCTATTGTTTACGTGGGCAAAATGGCGAGGTTGGCACTCTCCTAATCTTATTGTAATCCTTGTACAGCTGTATAATTAAGAGATAGAGATTATAATCATATTTAACATAGAGCTTAGTATGTGCCACTCACTGTCCTAAGTGCTTTATATATAATAACTCACTTAATCCTCCCGGTCCATTGAGGTAGGTAGGGTTATTATCCCCATTTAATAGATGAGGAAACTGAGGCACAGTTTTGTCCCACGTCACTTTGTCGACCGGAGTATAGTGAGCTGATTTCATCAGTTGGAAATAGAAAGTGAAGACTATGCATACAGACAATAAGGAAGCTCAACTGTGAAGGAAAGAAATAATATCCATAAAATATCTATATTTTAAGAGAACAAAGACTGGAGCATATTTAAATACTTACAGGAGAGAGTTTGTAGGGATTTAATGGTTAAGTAAATCTGACCTGATATTAAAATGATATTTGATGGAATCAGAACCTAAGGAGGAAGGTAGACCAGGAGTCAGCTTTAGATAGAAGTCCTCTGTTTCTCTGTGTTGAGTGAAAAAACAACACTACAGTAAAAGTTATAAAGAAAAGAGAATTATTGTCCGTACAAAGCTAGCATAAAACAAGGGCCAGACCCTGTTGGAACCCGAGAAGTGGGGCCGGATCAAAGTGGCAGACACGTCCACTGACTCCAAGAAAGTAAAGGTCTTCTGTGGTAGCAAAGGGGTACAATCCATGCAGGTCACAGAAAGAGTTCACAGTGGGTGAGGAAAACAGAGCAGGGTTTTATAGCGATGGAGAAAGGGCCAGGATTGGGTAAAGTCCACTGGCAAAAGTTGTGTGAAGCAATGGCAGCGGTGGTGGGCATCAGTTCA